AAAAAAGTAATCTGATTACGTAACTTGCGTTACTTGTAATGCGTTACCCCCAACACTGTGTGTGTGTGTGTGTGTGTGTGTGTTAGAGCCGTCTGTGCGCAGGATCGTAGCGGCGCCCTATGTCGGTCGCTGGCGGTGGCAGGTGTTTGCCGCGATCAGTGTAACGGCTCTGATTCTGCTGCTGCTGATCATCACAGTGTCTGTGAGCCGTGAGTAAAACACGCCGAAAAACATCATCATATCATACTGACAAGCATGTTATGTCCTATTTGTCTTTATTAATGTCTAAATAACTTATATTGTCAGAGTGGAATGGTTCAAGTCGGTCGGAAAGATCGTATTTACAAGTTGACTAGGGCGAATTTTGATTTTAACATTGGTGGGGACATACCCCCCCCCTCCCCAATCCAACTACCGCAACATTTTTGCATTTATGATCGATATTTGATCACAGTTCCATGTCATCTAAAGTCTTTATTTACAGCTACGGTAGCTATAACATAGCCTACTCATAATTCATAAAGAGAGCTTTTTATGTTAGCATAGTTACACTATTTTGATAACGTAAAACCAACAACATTACAGTAGCAGTTTTAAAGATGTTTTCTTTGGATTGTTTGACTACTCAAAAGAGAATATAGCCAAATATAACCGTATTAATTTGTGTTTCCTGCTAGCTGAATTTCACATAAACAAGAATCTGGCTCTAAATCGCTCTTTTCTTTATTCAAAGTTTGGAAGAAAAAACAAACAAATTAGTAACCACAAATTAACCATGATTTTGCTACACTGAACATAGTTTAACCATGGTATTTGTAGTAAAACCGGTTATACAAATGGTAATCAATACGCTTTTGCTATAATAAAACCATGGTTAATTTTATTAAGGGATTTCTATCTGTGTATACTTTTAATCTTTGTTTTGTTTTTATAACTGCCTGGTTTGATGATTTGCACTGTTTAATAAAAAAGAAAGAATTTAGTATATATATATTTGTTTTTAAATAAACACAGCAATTTTAAATATACAACAATAACTTCTTAAATAGACACAAGGGTTCAAATTTTTTTTTTTTTTAATTTACCTTAAAATCTTTTTTTTTTTGGTAGAAAATGTACATCGCATTGTAACTACTTCCCAAATCGTAAATACAAACTTGACTTGAACGCAGCATAATACGGCCAAAAAGTAATGTGGAATATGTACACGAATAAGTGCATATTTTCGTACATTTTACAAAGTTTAAACTAGAGCCATCAACAAAAAATAATGATGTTTAATTTTTTCATATGTGTAACTGTGTTTTGTTAGATGTGAAGTTTGACAGGAAGTTCTCAACTGCAGAGATGAACGTACCGAATCTGACGCAAACGCTCGTGAGCGTCATAACCAGAACACGTGACCTAGAGGAACACGGTAATGTAGCCTTCATCATCTTTCATCCATATGAAACGACTTTCTCATCTGACGTCATCAATCGCTCTTATTCATTAACTAGTAAATCAACTAGAAAATCAAGTCCCACCTACGTTATTTTTTTTCACTGAATTTTTTCAACTATTATCACAATATAGAAGTTTTAATTTTTTACAATGATGTGTGTTCAGGACATAAACTGCTTTTGGAGATCAGCAATCTGGAGCTTAACCAAGAGACGATGCAAAGCATGATTAATGATAGTAAGTAGCACACAAATACACATGCAGACAAACCAAACTAGACAAACTAATGTACAGATCTTAATATATGTGTGTTTGTTTAGTGTCGGATTCAGCGCAGGTGCTCCGTGACAAAGTTTCGAATCTGAAATGCCAGATTAACAAGATAAGGAACAACAGTAAGTGATGCTGTATTAGTGTGTCCTCATGTCTCGTGCAGAGCGTGACACGTGTGTATGTTCAGACACGCAGGAGCTGTGCTGTCCTGATGGATGGCTGCTCTTTTCCTCACACTGTTATTTCTTCTCTGATGACGGGATGCCGTGGGACGCGGCCAGAGACGAGTGTAAGAAGAAGAGATCAGAGTTGCTCGTCTTAAAAAGCAAACAGGAGAAGGTCAGAGCTGATCCGTACTGTACAACTAAACCAACACAAATAAACCAACAGAGCGTAACCAACAGCACCAGCCACACAACTAAACTAACAGAACTACTCATCAGAACTAAACCAACGCAACTAAACCAACAGAACTACTCATCAGAACTAAACCAACGCAACGAAAACAGCACAACTTAACCAACAGCACCAGCCACACAACTAAACTAACAGAACTACTCATCACAACTAATCCGACACAACTTAACCAGAACAACTAAACCAACAGATCAAAACCAAAACAACTAAATCAAAAGAACTAAACTAACACAAACCAAACCAACCAAGAGAAATAAACTAAAACAACTAAACAAAAACAAAACACACTAAAACAACTAAACCAACACAACTTAACCAGAACAACTAAACAAACACAAACCAAACCAACCAAGACAAATAAATAAACACAACTAAACAAAAACAAATACACTAAAGCAACCAAACCAACAAAACTAAACCAAAACAACTAAACCAACACATTTAACCAAAACAAATTAATGAAAACAACTAAACCAACACCACTAAACCAACAGCATCAACAACACAAGTAAACCAGCAGAAATAAAGTAAAACAACCGACACAAACCAAAACAACTCAACCAAAACATATTCGTTTGTCTATTCTATTCATTTTGGTCTAATTTATATTAAAAAAAACTTGCTATGTGTACTGTGCTAGGCTAACTGAAACTTGTCACAGCACTTGTTGCTCTCTCGTTGGTCTGATTGCTTCTACTTTGTAAGTCGCTTTGGATAAAAGCATCAGCTAAATGACTAACTGTAAATGTAAAGCAGCATGTTTATTCAGACTGAATCAGTGCTTTAGTAATCGTGTGTGTGTGTGTGTTCAGAGTTTCGTGGCCAGTAAGACCAGGCCTCTGTTCTACTGGCTGGGTTTGACTGACGGCCGCACTGGTGAGTGGGAATGGCTGGACGGAACGCCATGCACGATCATCAGGAGGTGAGTGTGTGTCCAGCGTCAGGAGCCTCGTTCACACTCCAGCGTTCATCACGTGTGTGTGTGTGTGTGTGCAGTGAATGGATGCCCGGTCAGCCGGATGACTGGACGGCTCACGGTTTGGGAGGCGGTGAAGACTGCGCTCACTTTCATCACGACGGACGCTATAACGACGACCACTGCTCTCGGCGCTACCGCTACATCTGCAAAGCTCACGCCTCCTCCATCTGAGACACGAATGTCCTTCACAGCGTCAACACTTCACAACAAAACTACATCAAACCAACAAACAACATCAGTGTGAATATAAACACTAATAATGTTTAATATTTCAAGGTTTCTGATTCTTATATTTACTGTATATAAACAACAAAAACAATTCCTTTGTTTAATTTTTATTTTAAATTGATTTTGCATGACAATGTATTTTAGTTTAGTTAGTCATGTTTTAGTTCAGTTTCTCACGTTACTGTGCTACAGAAAAATGTTGCTCTGGATGAAAGCAACCGCTAAATGAATAAATGTAACTCTCTACTTTTGATGCTACTGCCACGCTTAAAAATGAACATTAACTGAAAGTGTCCGCTGAAAGTGTAACTGAAACTGTTCACTGTTTTTACTGTATTTTTGATCAAATAAATGCAGCCTTTGTGAGCAGAAGAGACTCTTTCAAAAACATTTAAAAACCCCAAACTTTTGAACAGTACTAGCATAGCTTTCTCTCTACTTCCATGTGGGTTTGACATTTTTATCACGAGACCCGCGAGTAAACACTGAGCTTTCAGAGGTGGCGCTGCTGCTCTTCCTCAGGCATCCAGCAGGGGGCGACGGGCGAACATTTTCAGCAGGCGTCTGCATCGGTTTGAGGACCTGAGAGAGCCTTAGTGAAGCCGCGCGGGTCAGTGCAGGCGCTTTAGCCTGGTTTCCAGGAGTGGTGGCGTGGCGTGTCGTTGACGCCACGGTGTTGCGAGCGAAGCTGGGCGGTTTGACCGTGGAATTGCGGTTTGAGGTTTGAGGACTGGGACAGTCGAGGCCGCAGAGTGTAACGCGACACATCTTCTCCTCCGGACGAAACGCTTGCGTCTTCTTTGCGCGGCTGAGAACGCTTCGATTGGTTCGCTCCTGAATTTGTGCAGAAGAACTACGGGGCTGCCGGAGAGGAATGAGCTTCCTCAAACTCGCGGTTTCAGAGGCGGACACACATTTAGGAGATGATGTCGATGGTTTAATGGAAGATGAAGGTGATTTTGCAGAAAGAGATGCTCTGTTTTTAGAGATGAAGGTTCGTTTGCTGATTGTTTGTTTCGCTCCAGTGCTGGTTTTGAGCGACTCTTTTGTAGGTTGGACAATACCTTTAGTTTTTCTCTCTGATTCGTCATTAACAACCTCTGATTCTACCACTAAACTGATTCGTGAAGGGTCAGAGGTCACGCTTGGAGTCAGTTCTGTATTTCCCGATGTTTCCTGGCTTTGTGTTTGAAGATCGTTGTTCTGCGATTCTTGCATGGAAAGAGTCTTATTTTGGATCTCTGGCTCCTCTGTCGTGTTTGTGATGGAGAGCGAGTGTATTGGAGGAAGTACAAGTGTATCCGATCCACAGGGGTCAAAGGTCACATCTGGAGTCAGCTCTGTATTTCCCAATGTTTTTCCTGTATTTTCCTGTGTTTGAAGGTCGTTGTTCTGCGATTCCTGTATGGAAAGAGTCTTATTTTGGATCTCTGGCTCCTCTGTCGTGTTTGTGATGGAGAGCGAGTGTACTGGAGGAAGTACAAGTGTATCCGATCCACAGGGGTCAAAGGTCACATCTGGAGTCAGTTCTGTATTTCCCGATGTTTCCTGGCTTTGTGTTTGAAGGTCGTTGTTCTGCGATTCTTGCATGGAAAGAGTCTTATTTTGGATCTTTGGCTCCTCTGTCGTGTTTGTGATGGAGAGCGAGTGTATTGGAGGAAGTACGAGTGTATCCGATCCACAGGGTTCAAAGGTCACGCTCTTCTGTTGCGGTGAGCGACGTGGACTGTGACGACTCGTCTTGAGCAGCTCCAGAAGCCCCTCCCTCTTTAACACCGCTGCCACATCTGCTTCACTATTGGACCGCAAGATGGAGACTCCGCCCATATCCCCATGCCCCGCCCACGAGTGCCGCTTGTCCTCTGACTCCTTCAGACGCTTGCGCCGAGACTCCTCCCACATTCCTCGCTCCGCGTTCTCCTGAGGAGAGAAAAGAGTGCTGATGATTACCAAACGAGTTTAAGTTCAGAGCCTGAATAAAAGAACATATAAAAGAAATATAAAAGACCAGGGGGCCTCAATGGAGTGTTAGGGGATAATGGAAACATTTAGAGAAAATGTAAAAATAAATATATAATAATAAAGAATTAAATAAATAAATAATTTGAATATATTACAATAAATAAATAATACAATTAGATTAGATTTAATAAATATTAGATGTAAATAAATAAGTTATAAAAATATTAGTAAGTAAACAATATTAATTATATTATCTTATTTAATTAATTTAGTACATTTAACAATATAGTACTATAGTGAGTATAAAAAAGTTTGTTTTACTATGCTTTTTTCCCAATATTTTAAAGAAGTATAGTATATAGATTACCAATTTAAATTAGTCTAAACAGGATTTAAACATCAAAATATAAATAAGTAAACAATAAAAATGTGATTATTAAAATTTAATGAGTAAAAATAATATATTTAACAATACTGTATTGTTGTAAGTAGAGAAAGTTAATTCTAATATGCTCTTTAAACTTTGTCTTTAAACATGTAAATATATAATATATATAATATATCATGTAAAAATAAAAATTAGATTAAATAAATAAATAATATATGAATAGAAAATAAAAATATATATCAGTAGGAAAAGAAGTTAATTAATTATGCTTATTTTCCCAGTATTTTAATATTTAAAATCTATACATTAGTAAATTAGTCTAAACTGAGTGTTTAAACATGAAAATATATAGCAGCCACGCATGGCAAGTAAATATATATTTTTTTTTACCTGAACTGCTTTTTTGAATTTGGAGCAGAAATTCTGGAAAATTCGGAAGCACTCGTCCAGTTTGAAGACGCCTCTGTCCTCACAGAAGAAATCGATCAGAGCATCTCCTTCCCTCTGAACCTCATCAATACTGATCCTCAGATCCTCCAGAGCTGCAGCGGCGCTCTGAAACACATCGACACACACAATCAGACATGACTGGGACATGAAACGTTGCATTTAAAATCAGACATGCCACAGGTAAGAGGTCACCCGTAGGAAGGACTGCAGCTGCATCAGGAGCTCATCATCTGAGTGGATGGTTTGCTGTAACTGATGAACTCTTTTGGTCAGAGTGTGAAACTCATCATGGATGCTGTCAACACACACTCTACACACACACACACACACATACACACACAAACACACACAGGTTTATACAGTAGACATCCATTGTTTTAATATCAGGGAATTATATTTTCTCTTCACAGAACCCCCTAAACATAACACCTTCACAGAAAGCTTTGCAAAAAAACTGGATGTAAATAGAAACATGATTGGGATGCAGCAGTATTTTAGTATGACAGTGTTTCAACAGTGAAATGAGTGTTAGATCAGATGATTGTTTTCTCACCGCACTGCTTGCTGAACATGCTGAAGTTTCTCTGGAAACATGAGCAGATCTTTCTTCTGAGCTTCCTGAAACCAGACAAGAACAAGTGTGTATTCTGTTTATTGCATTATAGACTACCTCAGACTGATAGAGACCAGCTCAGACTGATAGAGACCAACTAGCTCAGACTGATAAAGACCAGCTCAGACTGATAGAGACCAACTAGCTCAGACTGATAAAGACCAGCTCAGACTGATAGAG